TCTATCTGCCCAGGGATTGGCAGTGCTGCCAAGTACGAAAACGAGTTTCTGGGCGCGCTCTCAGGAAAAATGAGAGAGTTTCATATCTAGTTATCTATGGTTATTTGGTGAATGGACACGCGGTAATTATGTAAGCGTGCTGAAGAGGTTTCGTGAGTATATAGTATGCATATGTTAAAATAATTGTTTGCTCACATTATTTATAATCACTTACTTTCAGATACTGCCGCCTGTTTTACCGCGTATGAAAATGCTTTGCGTGATCCCCAAATAAAGGCAGTACACTCAAAAGTGTACAAATTTTGATTTGCACTAGATACAAAGCATTTTGACGAACGAAAGTGCTTGCTACAAACAAAGCATGACCCTTCTCGGTACTCTAGGGTGTCTTTTGTTGAAATTGTCTGCAGACAATGGCTCTTTTACACTGGATAACCACATTTGTCAACACCGACCAAGTGTAAGCGCACCGCCACTAGAACAGTAACAACAACATCAATGTTTAGCATTGCAACCGCCTCGACAGCCGCTGCGACTAAGGAAGTCTGCACACGGTTCGTATAGCCTCTACTCCTCAAGATCTGCACACGAAGCAACTTCAAAGCGTCAAAGTATCAGGCAAAAAATGTTAAGTGATGCAAAATTATTATTTCTTTAATAAATTTTCAGTTATTTTTTCTATTAATTGCACGAATAATATTGTTTTATCTGTGTTTTTTTTTTATGAAATGCATGCACGCACACGGAAAATTGTAAACAAACTTCTTCTTCTTTCTCTTTTCGAAGCGTACATACGCCTAGCAACCAACGCTGCTGTACGCCAAGCGATTTGCAGCTAGCTTGCTTTGAGGAATTCGTGAAGCTGACGACTCGTATACAACCCTCCATTTAAATACACGTGTGCGGCATCAAAGCGTACAACTTTCGTATGTAGCATCTAATACGCGTCTAAAGCTATGCGACCTGTGTGCAGACTGCCTAATACACCAACCGCTACCTATAATTTTAATAAAAAATCGCGCGAAATATATACATTTTTAAAAAAGAACTAAAACTTTGGTGTTCTACACCCTACTAAAACCTTAAAACTATAATAAATATATACACACATAAACTAAAACTACTACCTCTTCAAACTTTGATGCTGCTGCAGCTCTTTGTCTGCGGGTACTACTTCACACTCTGGTCTTGCTCCGAGCGTAAGCGATGATTCTCAGGCTCTGCCGAATATTGGCGGTGCTGCTAATGTAACCCAACAAGCAAAATGGTCCGAAGATGTGGTGGTTGGTCGTAAGACCAGCTCCGACTTAGACGTTGTTCCGTCAAAGAAATTGGTTCATTTGTCCTCATTCAAGAATACCATTTCAGAAGATGATATCATATCTTATGTAGCGAAAAACTCAAATATTAATCGAAGCCAAATGGCCTGCTTTAAACTATGTAGTTAAAAAGAATGCCGATATTAATTCATTGCGAAAGATTAACTTTAAGCTCGGTGTTTCGCCGGAAGCATTTAGCGTGATTTTAGACCCAGATCTCTGGCCAACTAATGTCAAAGTGCGCCCTTTTCAATTTTTTCTGAAGGAAGATCTACCAAATAAAAAAAATAGCTGCTCCTAGCAAGTCAGCCAATAACGACGCTGACAGCCATGTTCGTATTTATTTTCACAACATCTCCGGAATGCGAACTAAAGGAAATGCAGTGCACTCTTTCACCTCGCAGGCACTATATGACGTGTTTGTAATAATTGAAACCTGGCTCACACCAAATTTTTACAACTCTGAGTTTTTCGATCAAAACTTATTCGATTTCTTCGAGGGAGTTCTGATTACTGTTAAGCGAGAACTCCGTGCTGTCTTGGTAAGCCTAAATAACAATGACACTTTGCTTGATCAAGTCTGCGTACGGCTGATTGGTTCCATGGACAAGTTATTCATCTGTGCCTCATATATTCCTGCGAATAGCCCATGTCAACAACGTCGTTTCTTTATGCTCTAAGATTGGATCTCAACAGTTATGCATGCTTGGAGATTTTAACTTAAATAATTTATCATGGTATTTTTTAGATAATTCTTATTTCCTTATTCCTTCCAATGTCTGTAATGCCTCCGAGCTATACGTTATTGATAATTTCTTAAGTTTTGAACTAAATCAAGTTAACTATTATCTAAATAAGTGTAAAAAAAAATCTTAGGCTTAATTTTCCTGTCTAATAATTCAAGCTTTTATCTCTCGGAATGTTATTTGCCGATTTCCTTAGCTACTATGCGCCATATTCCTTGTACTTTTAGATATTGAATTTTACAGGTTTGCACATACCTCTCCTGTAAGTGATGTCATACATTTTAATTTTAATAATTTCAGCTTTGATTACCTTAATGAACTGCTTCTTGAGTTTGACTGGATCTCCATGTTTGATAACTTAGATGTCTCTGACTGTTCTCAATTATTTAAATCTGAAGTGATTGGTCGGTGTCTACAATATATACCTGTTTTGCCTAACAGAAAGTACAAGCTGCCCTGGTACACTAAGGAGCTTAATCACTTAAAAAATCGCTGCAATAAGGCCTATAAAAAATATAAGGTCTCCAATAGTGATGAACATCTTAACTTGTACAAACGCCATATAGCCGAATTTAGGAATCTTGATAAAACCCTTCACAGTAGATATATACATACGTAATGTTGAGCATAATATAAACCGTAACCCCAAAGCCTTTTGGAATTTTATTAAATCTAAAAACTCGAAATCGAACATACCGTCCTCAATGTTTTTTAAGGAAAAGCATGCCTCTTCTTCCGATTAGATAGTTGATCTTTTCGCTGAATTTTTCACTGCCAACTTTGTGGCTGAACTTGATGATGGCCCAAATAGTGCTTATTTATTGGATTCTCCATTGTGTTTTAGTAGTTTGTGTGTTTCTGAATGTGATGTTCAAAAGGCAATCGCAGTACTCAAGGCCTCCACACAAACCGATGCTGATGGCATATCACCCTCTCTCTTAAAAAACTGCTGTGCTCTTATAAAACCGCTGACGCTTATTTTTAATAAATCACTTTCAACAGGGATATATCTTCAAGATTGGAAAAAAACTCATATTACACCAATCCTCAAAAGTGGATATAAGAATGATGTTTCTAATTATAGGCCGATAACGAAGTTGACAACGATTGCTATACTATTTGGAAGTGTTGTTAAAGTTAAGCTAGATTTTGCTATTTCGAGTCTAATTTTCGCGTCTAGTTTCGTCTCTGCATGGTTTTGTGAAAGGAAGATCTAATGTATCTAACCTTTCCATTTTTGCTGAGAACTGTCTCGCTAGCTTTGAGGCCGGCCTCCCGGTGGACACCGTTTATACGGACTTTGCGAAAGCATTCGACAGAATTTCTCACAGAATTTTACTAAGCAAATTAGCAGCTTTAGGGTTTCATTCCACTTTTCTCAAATGGATTGGGTCGTACCTCTATGGTAGGAATAGTACAGCCATTTCATGTAACGTCTGGAGTTCCACAAGGTAGTATTTTAGGACCGCTTCCTTTCGTTATCTTCATAAATGACATAAGTACTTGCTTTTTACACTCTAAATTCCTGCTTTAGGCGGATGATCTCAAAATCTATTCTACTATTTCGAAAGCTGAGGACTCGGTCCTACTTCAATCTGATATTGATAGGGTGCACTCTTGGTGTGTGCGTAATCGGCTATATTTAAATGTTAAAAAATTTTATCAAATATTTTTTTCATTTGTTTTTGTTATTTTAAGGTCTTATAACAATTATATTCAACAATTTTTATTGATCTCGACGCCGTTTTTTTTTTTTGAAAAACTTATTGTGGAAAAGCAACAATAATTTGAAAAAATGTTAGAATGGTTCGAAAATCACCTCATTTCCTCATCAGACTTCTTTCAGTAGGATTCGAACCGACGATCACCACTGACTCAACCAGTTGCCTACGCACTGTGCTAAGTTTGTCTTGTTCAGGGATGATAAATGAATTTTTAATTTTTGTACCAAATGGACAAAAAGAATGTACTAAATCAGCCGAAAAAGTACCAAAATTTAAAAGACTATACAGACATATGAATATGGGTAATTTCCAAACAAAGTGTTCATTGCAGGTATTTTATATATTTTTTTAAGATTGATAATCTTATCCTCTAAAATAGTTTACTGACGCGAATACGAAACTGCTTTCGTGCTCTTCAAAAATTAATTTTTGTTCTTATTTTTGCATTTTTGCAAAATATTTTCCAGAATGTAACATTTGCATATCACTTTTAAACTCATTTATCAGATAAGCCAATGTTGGAGATTTTTTGTGCCTTCTTCAAGACATTAATGTGACGTTTTTCCTGGGAGGCAGGTTTTTTGTTTAATCTTTCTTCAGCAACAGCTTCCCATATATGCCATTTGAACACTTTTGTTCTAAAAGTCTAATTTCACTAAAATATAAAATCAAGGAAATCATTGAAACCCCTGAAGCAATAAATAGGCATTGGTTATTATCTTATTTTTAGTATTTGTTGTATAAAAAAACTGGGTGTGTTAGATTTGTTTATATAATGCAATTTTTATTAAGTAAACTTCAAG